TCGTTCGGACTGGAGAAGTGTAGTCGGATGGTAACAAAGAGAGGGAAGGTAGTCAGAACTGAGGGGATTGAACTACCAGAAGGCAACATTGCAGACATAGAGGACAGTTACAAGTACTTGGGGATCCCACAGGCGAATGGGAACCATGAAGAGGCCGCTAGAAAAGCTGCAACCACCAAGTACCTGCAGAGGGTCAGGCAAGTCCTGAGGAGTCAGCTGAATGGTAAGAACAAGATCCAGGCCATCAACACGTACGCCCTGCCCGTGATCAGGTACCCTGCTGGGGTAATAGGCTGGCCAAAGAAGGAGATAGAAGCCACTGACATAAAGACAAGAAAGCTCCTTACCATGCATGGAGGGTTTCACCCCAAGTCCAGCACCCTGAGGCTGTACGCTAAGCGGAAGGAAGGGGGCCGGGGACTGGTGAGTGTCAGTCCAGGATGAGACAACGAACATCCAAGAATACATTGGGAAGATGGCCCCAACTGACTGAGTGCTCAGTGAATACCTCAGGCAGCAGAAACCCAAGAAAGAGGAGGGAGACGAGGAACCATCATGGAAGGACAGGCCCCTGCACGGTATGTACCACCGGCAGATAGAGGAGGTGGCTGATATCCAGAAATCCTACCAGTGGCTGGACAAAGCTGGACTGAAAGACAGCACAGAGGTACTAATCATGGCAGCACAAGAACAAGCTCTGAGCACAAGATCCATAGAGGCTGGGGTCTATCACACCAGGCAAGACCCCAGGTGCAGGCTGTGTAAAGATGCCCCAGAGACAATCCAGCACATAACAGCAGGGTGCAAGATGCTAGCAGGCAAGGCATACATGGAACGCCATAACCAAGTGGCCGGCATAGTGTACAGGAACATCTGTGCCGAGTATAACCTGGAAGTCCCGAGGTCAAAATGGGAGATGCCCCCAAGGGTGGTGGAGAATGACCGAGCTAAGATCCTGTGGGACTTCCAGATACAGACGGACAAAATGGTGGTGGCTAACCAACTGGACATAGTGGTGGTAGACAAACAGAAGAAGTCGGCCGTAGTGATCGATGTAGCGGTTCCGAATGACAGCAATATCAGGAAGAAGGAACACGAGAAGCTGGAGAAATACCAAGGGCTCAGAGAAGAGCTCGAGAGGATGTGGAGGGTGAAGGTAACGGTGGTCCCCGTGTTAATCGGAGCACAAGTTGCGGTGATTCCCAAGCTAGGCGAGTGGCTCCAGCAGATCCCGGGAACAACATCGGAGATCTCTGTCCAGAAGAGCGCAGTCCTGGGAACAGCTAAGATACTGCGCAGGACCCTCAAGCTCCCAGGCCTCTGGTAGAGGACCCGAGCTTGAAGGATAAACCGCCCGCAGGGGCGTGCTGGGTGTTTATATATATATATATATATATATATATATATATATATATATATATATATATATATATATACATCCTATGCAGCTTATATATAAAGGTTAGTGCCTACCATAAGTGCCATAGGATAAGAGGGAGACGTACACACTGAGCCCTGGGTGTGTATCGCAGACAGCGCCCTCTACTTCCTGAACTACAGCCTCCCATTTAAACACCACATGCTAACTACTAACAATTATTACTTATACTACGAACAGATCACTGATTGTAGCTTTGTAGTCATAGATTTTCCCCTACTTTTATTGTCCGAAGTGAGAAAACTTGTGGTGCAGCAGCTTGTTTGATTAAAAACAAAACACAAAAAGCATTAAACAAACAATATATACAAAAAACAACTAAATATAACTTAAATTTCATCCATACAAATTAAAAAGGTTGATAGGCGATGGTACAAATGACACTGTTAATCTTTGATGGTTTAAACTTTTGTCCCAAAGTTTAGTACTGAAATTCGTAATGGCTCTTACTGGCCTTGGTGCATCTGCTGCTCCCAGACAGTTACACCATTACACTATTCATTGAGTATCGTATGTGCTTATTTCATCTTCTAACCGATACCTGTTCTTAAAATGTCCAACAAATGTGTCAACAAATAAAATTGTAGGGTGTGTCCTTCAAAATGTTTGAAGATGTAGTTGAACTTCCTTGCAGTTTCTGCATGTTGTCTAATTGTTGTCTAAACTTTAAAGGCTCAGGTTGCCACACTGTGCAATATCATCATATAGGTGTGTGATCACTCAAACAATATGCCTGACAACAACCCCAAGCATAAATCCAGTGCAATAAACAACCATCTGGAGACACAAAAACAACATCCCTACATCTGATGGGATACCATTATCAATATCATAAGAATGTATCAAAAAATATATAATGACATCATGCTAAACATAATACTTAATTCAGTTTGTACTCATTTATTAAATAAGTCATCACAAAAAAAAATCAGTAAACATGAGTTTATTGAAAACATTCAGTCCAGCATTTTCTTAATGTGTCTTCAGTTAAAAATGCACATGAATAAAAAAACAAAAAACAAAAACAAAATACCACAATGCTATGAATTTTGACCAGGAGACTGAAAACGAATCGGTAAAAGTATCAGTAAAAATGAGACGAAATGGATGTTAGATGAAAGGCAGGGACAACCATGTATGCACCCATATATGCAGTTTAACATTAGTCACTTCTTCACTTCACCACATCCCCCCACCAAACAACCTGATTATCTACTGTAAAGACACGGCACCAAAATAGGAAAATATGTGAAATCAGCAGCTGAAATATGCAATTTTATATTTTCATGGTTACATTAAAATGATGTAAAAACCTGATTCTGCATTTTTTCTTTGCCTCCATGAATCACTTTACATTAAAGGTACTCTAAATTTAAAAAAACAAACAAACAAAAAAAAACTTTCAGTCTCATATCTGAAGTTATCAGCGCTCCGTGGCGGCTCAATCCAAGACCGGCGGGGAGCAAATGCACCTCTAGTCCAAAGCAAAGAAGAAAAAAAAACTTGATTCATACATCACAAACCTTTTTCTTTTTTTCTTTTTTCTTGATTTAAGGAATTTTCTCATAACATCACTCTACATTGGTAAAGTTGCTCTTTAACAACAGTTCACTCAAGATGCACATGGGAGAGAAACCTTAGCTCCAAATGCTGTCAAACTTGGCAAGATGCAGAGGAATGATGCATCTGTCTGATGTATCTGCAGAGAAATGAAAACACTATTACTTTAAGTCCGCTCTGGGCCCTTCACTTTTCTCATCTGCTTCCTGCTGCTGCTTGATCGAATTGATTCAGACTTACTTAATTAGCGGCGTGTCCGCCTCCATCTATAAACCGGCGGATGAGTTTGAGACTGTGTGTGTTTGTGTGTGTGTCCATTTTCAGAGAAAGAAAGAGTAAAGAAGACACAAAACAGAGAGAGCATGGATATGGTACCTGTGCTGAACATGTCTGTTGACAGACGTGTGAAGCAGAGAGACAACACACAGACCAGGCAGTGCAAATGTGTGTACAGAAAAGAAAAGCATTTTATTCGCTATTTGCAGGAATATTTATGTGCATGGCTGTGTGTATGCGGAAGGAAAAAAAATAGTGGAGAGTATGAATGTAAGTAATGACACTAAACACAGAAAAATAATGAACACATAGATGGTAAATTCAAATTCCCACAAATACAGGTAAGGACACAATGACAGTGAGTAAGAAATGTGTTGCATGTGTCACTGTGCTCAGATCCACTTATTTTACTCTCCACATAGTGCACGTCGTCTTATATTAACCAGCCTGCCAGTAGCAAGTGTTATCCGAGTGCAAGGCTAATCCTTCACTTCTGATCGAGTTGGATAAACGCATCACAAAAAGTCAATTAACTTGCCTGTCAGATACCTTGATTACCCGGAATTATTTAAACTCTCAGAGATTGAAAAGAAGTGTACTGCTTGGTGAAATAAATCCTTCCGGTTTGAGTCTGCGCTTCCTCAGAAGCAAGTCAGGCAGAAAAAAAAGGAGCAACATTTAATTGGTTGTGAGAGGAGAACGAGGTGTGCTGACAGATTGAGGACACGCTTAATGGACAGAGGAACTACTGACCAAAGGCCAATAAAACAAAGGGAAAGGAAAGGTGAAGCTTCAGTGTTATTTATTTTATAAAGCATCAGTAAAATCAGCCCTGAAAGATAACTCGAGTAACTGTAAAAACATTCACTTTTTCAATTTGCCTTAGTATAAAATCCTGTTTTAATACAAAGATATGAAGCTTCTACAGTAAGTAAGAGAATTAGGAGTTAAACAGATTTGAAGGAATCAAAGTTGCCAAAAATAAATAAAAATTAATTAAAGAAAAATGCTTATTGGAAAGTTAGCACATTTAAGAAGTTGAACTTATTATGTTGGAAATTGGAGCTCTGCTTTGTAATGATTCAGCCACACAATAACATGCAGTGTAATTAATCTATTTTGAAAACACCTTTTAACCCACATCTTATTCCTGTATGACTTAAGTATTGTTAGTAGATGCGTTATTTTCATACTCAGTTGTTAGTATGTTAATGCTTTAATGGGTATAGAAGAAGCATGCAGGAGTCATAAAACTGGACTTTGAGCTGTTAACCAAATAAACAGTTGTCCAATAGAATTAAATTCAATTAGGTTAGTAATTAGTTTAATTCCAATTTTGACTAATGTAAATCTTTCTAGATTTGACAAACCGCAAGCACCTATAATTGGCTATCAAACTCATGTATGCTACAAAAAAATACATGCTTAAAATAAACTTGAAATTTCCTGATCACTTGAGAATCTACGATGACACATATGTTTCTAAATGTCCCAAATCTAAAGTTCAGGAATGATGTTTGTTGTAAAGGTCCAAAGCTTCTGCAGTGAGACATCTGCACTGGCTACCGAACGTAGAGCAAAGAGACGATTTTCAAAACTTTGCATCTGCAGCAGTTTCATCTAGTCTTCATGTTCATCTTTGCACATTTAGTTTGTTTCATCAAATTGTCCCTTCATCATCATCATCAGCAGCAGCAGCAGCATCATGCTGGTGTAAATCTCCGCTCCGTTTTTTCATATGTCAGTGACGCCCGTTCGTACTGATCCAGGATTGCACTATTCTCAAGAAGTCTACATGATGGAGACAATGCAACATAATGCAGAACATAAGCAGACACACACACACACACAAACACACATATGTATATCAGGACAGCACATTTTTTCACAGTAGAAGACAAAACAGTGGGTAGCATTTTATGTGGCTACTCCATCTTACGCAGGCATGAAGCTGCAAGCATGATCTTATATATCGCTGAGTCACATTTAAACCAAATGAAACTTTAATTGTCAATTAAATTCAAATATGAATCAGAAAAGTTACATACATTTCAAATGTATGCATTGCTATCGTTGTTTCATATGGTGCTTTTTGCAACTTCATGAAAGCACATTTAAGGAGCATACGCACATCAAATGTTACACACAGCTATAAACACTACGCTTCGCAATTAACCAAACACAAAATCAAATACTACCACTGATCATGCAAATCTACAGAGGACTTCTTTATGAGTGTGTGATAAGTAAAGACTAACAGGATATTTACATCATCTCAATGTGCCTCCTTTAAAGCATGTAATGTGATGTTGTAATAAAAACATTTGAGTGTGTGCTTTTCCCTTTTGGGCCTTTATGTGAACTTAAGTGAAGTATGATTTTCTGTAGGCTAACTAAGGAGAGCTGGGAAGGGGTTAGACATATTAACTGATACCAGCACCAACTAAAGATGAAATTGGAGAAGTCCATGCTAATGAATATCCACTGAGTGACTTAATGTATGCCTTCAAGGGGAAGAGGACATACAGTAAACTTGAGCATCACAAAGACTTCAAACAAACTCAACACGGCCAAGATGGCTGCAAGCAAGAAAACCATCTTGGTGAAAATGAACAATTCAAACATAAACATAAAAAAATAAAATAAAATATAAACCTGCGCAAAACAAAAAAAAATCACAGAAAAATAAAATACATAAAAGTATATATTAACTGGGCAAACGATGGATACACAACAACATATAAAGATGTTGATTGTTGGATAAGGGTGCTTACCTTGAGATTGTCTCTTAGACCCTAGTGGTGTTGTACTCTGATTCATGTTTGCTCAAAGAGCCAATGAGGCAGAACCTGAAATATCATGGCTCTTTCATTTAATATCAAACTCCTTTTGCATAGAGAGATCAAAATGCATAATGTGCTACAAAACAGCAATAAACGTCATTAGTGCTTTGATGGCGTCTGAGAGCCAGGCATGCAGACTTGGTAGAAAATTAATTCAGTTGGAAACACTCTGCACAGAGCACATAGAAAGTGCATGCAGGAAAACCTTGCATTTTTAAAGTTTTTCCTCCAAAAAACCCAAAAACAAATGTACTCTGATTCACATAGTGATTTTGTAAACATATACAGTTGCTTTTCAAGCAGTCACGGTACAAGTACAGAGTAAAATCTTTTTTCTATAGAAAATCTTGCTCATGCCAAAATAATGTGCTACTGGATAGAGATTACAAGTTATCTTTTTTTTTTCAGTTATCACAGTTAGAAATACAAATGCGTATTTTATAGCAAACTGCATTCATTTGAATAGATGTCAGTGAATTAAATATCTCTGTGAGGCACCGATTCAAGCCCTTGTGGAAAACTGTCAAACCAGACGATTACAGAGTTATCATCTGCTAAATTGAGGTCTGTGTCTTCTTAAAGATCTCTGACAAACCTCAAAGCACAGTAGAGTTTAGAGTAGGAAAGCTGTGAATCAACATTCATAAAAAGCTAGCTGGAAGAGGGTTTTTTTTTTTTTTTTTTTTTACATTTTCAAGGATTAACATGCAAGACGGGACAAAGACATATTTGTCCTTTGTATTGCAGCCCTTTGAGAAAATGTTTTTAATGTAGGAAAAAGGGGAAATAACAAGGATCAATGCAAAAATAAAGGTTATTGTAATATCAAAATAATAAACGAAAATAGGAAGCTAAAATGAAAGGAATGCAAAAAATAAATGTAAATATCCCACATATATCTCAAAACATCCCCATAGTTAACTCTGGGGTTGTTGCTCTTCCCTGATCAGAAATCTATGGATACTGACCGCTGTACTGCCTTTTCGTGGCGTGAAAGCCGGTGGCTGGTGGTGGGAACTTCTTCCAGGTCGTCGTCCAGGTCACATCCATTGTCTGCTGCCTCTTGTGAGTAGCTGTGCTTCATGACCAAGATGCTCCTGCGATTTCCCGTGGCCGGCAACAATGGCCGCACTGCCATGGAAGGCTGCGGAAGGTCTGTGAGCAGAGTGGCAGCCGCAGCATCACGGGCGCTCAAGTTGCCCCGGCTCTCTCGTGCACTGAGTGACAGCTGGGATATGTGCGCGGAGCCGGGGTTGGAGGAGGAGCCACAGTGGTGATCGTGAACGCAGCGGGAAGAGGCACGGCGAAGGGCGTGGTAGTTCTCAAAGTCTTCAGCCAGGTCGACTAAGTCTGCTGAGGCCGCTGTGGGTGTGGTGGCGCTCCGTAACGTACACAGCTCATAGTGAGGTGGCTCAAAGACCTCCTGGAACATGGTGGGGTCAAAGTCCTCACGTCGCAAGATATACTTTTTGCGTGGCTGCTTGATCTGGACAATAACAGAGATGATGAGGAGAATGAAGACAATGCAACAGGTGACGCCAATTATGGTCCCATTAGTGTTGTTCAGGTTGTCCAGGATGTTGGCTTTCCTCTTTTCTGTAGTGTGGGAGAAAAACAGCAAAACAAAAAAGGTAAAGTTTTTTTTTATGTGAATGCAATATAATCCTGAGGGATTTACTAAGATAAACCCCTCCAGGAAACAGTGTACAGTGTTAACACTAAGAGCCTGATTTAACTTACTTTTAAAATGTATCTCGGGCAATTAGACCAGAAGTGGTCAGCAATGATTATAAGTTAAAACAACCGCCAAGACCTGCTGTGATTCAAACATTTAACCACTTCACACATTTGGCCACATGTCTTTTGTAGGCCACATATTTACATACATACAGTGCTGTAAAAAGGTGTCTTTTCCCCCTTCCTGATTTCCTGTTTTTTCTATGTTTGTCACACTTAAATGTTTCAGATCATCAACAAAATTTAGAAAAAGACAACAAAAGTAAATACAAATGCAGTTTCTAAATGAAGGTGTTTAATATAATGGGGGAAAAAGTACAAACCTACATAGCCCTGTGTGAAAAAGAGAAAAACTGTCATGGTTCTCAAGATCTGGAGAGGTCGTGGTGTGTGTGGTTTTTGTCTTCGCCTCTCCCACCAGGGTGGAACTGGACCTTGATTCCCCGCCTCTGAACCCCCCCTGAACACACACCTGTGGCTCATTCACACTGATCCTGGCAGACTACTTAAGTTGGCAAGAGAGGCTGCTTCCTCGCTGGATCGTCACATTACCTAGCGCCTCGCCTTCTAGATTCCCTGCCGTCTGGATTTCTGTGGATGTGTGTGAGTGAGCGTGAGCATTTTGGAGTGGACATTCAGAGTGAGTTGTGGATTAAGTTGAAGAGGAGTGTATGTACCCCGCCTTGGACCTTCCCCTCGGGCCCCCCTCCACCCCCTGGAGCCCCGTGTTATCTGTCTCACTGTATTTAAGTAGATATTCTCACTTGGTGCCACACTGTAAATAAACCCTCACCTTCTCTCTAAACTAAGCCACCCATAGCAGTAACAACTGGAGGGTTTTCGAGAATGAACCGCTGTTCTAAGGTCATGCCACAGCATCTCAATCCTCAATCGGACAGGACTGGACAGGTCAGGACTTTGACTAGGCCACTCCAAAGTCTTCATTTTGTTTTTCTTAAGCCATTTAGAGGTGGACTTGCTGGTGTGTTTTGGATAATTGCTCTGCTGCAAACTCAAGTGCGCTTCAGCTTGAGTTCACAAACAGATGGCCGGACATTCTCCTTCAGGATGTTTTAGGAGACAGCAGAAGTCCTCCATGCAGCAAAACAGCCCCAGGCCATCACACTACCACCACCATATTTTACTTGGTATGATGTTGCTTTCCTGAAATGCTGTCTTACTTTTACACCAGATGTAATGGGACACACACCTTCCAGAAAGTTTAACTTTTGCTTCGTCAGTCCACAAAGTATTTTCCCATAAGTCTTGGGGATCGTCAAGATATTTTCTGGCAAAACTGAGGCGAGCCTTTAAGTTTCTTTTGCTCAGCGGTGATTTTCGTCTTGGAACTCTGCCATGCAGGCCATTTTTGCCGAGTCTCTTTGTTATAGTAGAGTCATGAACACTGACCTTAACTGAGGCAAGTAAGGCCCTCGGTTCTTTGGATGTTGTTTTGAGGTCTTTTGTGACCTCCTGGATGAGTCATTTCTGTGCTGGTCAGCCAGCCACTCCTGGGAAGGTTCATTACTGGTCCATGTTTTTGGCATTTGTGGATAATGGCTCTCTGTCTTCACTGGAGTCCCACAGCTTTAGAAATGGCTTTATAACCTTCTCCAGACTGAGAGATCGCAATTACTTTGTTTCTCACTTGTTCCTGAACTTCTTGGACCGTGGCATGATGTGTGGCCTACTTTTTGGTCTATCTTTTGGGGATTTTAAAAATAAACACCTTAATTTAGAAACGGCATTTTGTGTTTACTTGTGCGATCTTTGTCTAATATTTGATAATCTGAAACAATTAAGTGCGACTAACATACAAAAATAGGAAATCAGGAAGGGGGCAAACACGTTTTCACATCACTGTATCTGTTTGGTCTTTAAGGAAAAAAAAATGAAAATAAAACTTTGTTTGTTGTTTCCTTTTTATTTCATCACATGCCCTTTTACAAATGACTTTCGTCCTGCCAGCTCAACCACTAGAACAGCCCGTACAGCCATATTGATTCTTGAAACACTTCATTTCTTTGCAAGCCAATCCTAACAAATGCTGCACTTGACTGTTGACAGGTGGATGAAAAAAAATAATGGTTAAACGACTTAGTAGAAGTCACGCAGACAGAGCAGAAATCTTCAAAAGTCACCTTGACACTTTGGGGACATGTGATTGACACTGGATACAAAGGTTGTGGTAACATTTTAAAACCAAGTGCAAATAAGACAAACACAACTGAATGCTTTTTAAGCCTTTCTAAGAGAAAGGGAATGAAGCATAATACAAGTTAGTTAGCATGCCTTGTTTACTGTAGTACAGCACAAGCCTTGATAACCAGCACATTTTGCATCACTCTGAGGATTTCATACTGGTTATTTTGTGGGGGAACAGTGTGAACTAACACAGCTCAGTCCTGCTCTATAGGATTTTCTGCTTACAGTATCCACTTCTAACTATCCGAGTCCAACCAAACTGAACCATTAACCAGGTCAGCACAAATTTGTAGACGCTAGAAGAAAAAAAAATCTCTAAACCACAAAACAAAAATGTCTGATGAAGAGATTTTGCCATGCTTTACTTTAGACTTGAGTTTTTATTTTAACTTAAGCTGTCTTACAACATTATAACATCAGTTAGAGATGTGCATCGTCAACCAATTAATGAAACTTTTTAGTGGTTATTGCCTTAATTGCCTAGCTAGATAGCAACATGAAAGCTGCCGCTTACACTGAAATTGGAAGCATGCTTTTGTCTGAATTTAAGGACCAATTATACATAACATTAGAAGAATTTCTAAATGGGAATTAGTGATGGGATGAGCAAATGGTCTGGTATGTCCTTTAAAAGAGCTTAAGCTTAAGATTAAGTGACTTCCATGAATTATCAAACAGATGGACATATATTTTATTACAGGATCACAGCTTTAGTCTATTTATAACACGGGCTACTATAAAGACACGCACACGCACACACACAGTACAGAGAGCCAATCAGGGTGACATTTAAATGCTTTATGAACTTGTAGTGCAGTGGACTGAGCTTCAATGACAGCAAATGGTTACATTCAGACATGTAAAGGAGAAAGAAATGAAACTTGACATTTTACTGCTAATGAGGACAAATGTGGGGCCAACACTCTACCAGAGCAGAGTAGGAGTCTGAGAGACAAGCCCTCTTCTTGCTGATTTCTGCACAATTTCAAACTCAGACTGTAGGCTGGAAAGGTATCTGGTAGTCTGAGTGAGTAATAGGTCACGCAGGATTTACCTAATTGATAAAATTTGTCAGCGGTTCTGCTTAAAGCTTCAGAGGGTTAGAGTGCACATTCAGAATACGCAAGCATCTTTTCTGTGCAACTTTTCGATCTGAGGGAGAAAATATATACAAAAAATAATATAGCAAGAACACATCTTACTTGCAAACCAGGCAAAACACTTTAATAGTCTAAAAAATACATGTATTGAATAAGAAGGATGCTGCATTATAAAAAGAAAAAACCCCCTGAACTAGTCAATTCTTACTCCACTTTCTTAAATTACTGAATAAGATCAAGGACACTGCAATCAGCAAACCTCCTCATTATAAATTATGAACAGCCAGTAATAAGATGTTTGGGATCAATGTATGGATTTGGTGGCATTACAATTCTGAGAGGAGTGAAGGACTGAGCGACAGAGGAAATGAAAAAAATGGGCATTAGCTCAAAATACGGGACTACAAAGGACAGTGGAGGGGCATCAGCTTGGATCAGTTTGACGATGGGTTCAAATTTGGGTGAGGGAGGAGAGGGAGAAGGAAGAAAGGGGGTGGCATATAGCAAGAAGTGGCAGGTTTCTCTGTGTGTCACTCTCCATGGTGCTGAAACATTAAACATCCACTCCTATCTTTGTGTGTTGCTGTGACTAGCTGTTGGAGATCTGCTAAAGCTGTGACATGAGAGGTCAGATAACTACACGTAACATCTCACCTTTACACTGGTTCTCATCCCAGGGGTAGACACAGTTCTGCATGCCATTACACACAAGTGTGTTATTTATGCACATGTTACTGTGACAGAAGAAGGCATCTGCATCACATGGAGCTGGAAGGGGAGAGAGCACAATGAGCAATTAAGACATTAAAGAAGTTTATTTATATTTGCACATTCAGTTCACAGGACAAGTTCAATGCAATTTTTAGTATATTTACCATCTCTAAAAATAGCAAACACAAAGGACAATTACATGCGCTACTGTACTGATCATTATAAGAAGTAGAGCAGAAGTCCAGCGTGGCAGATTTTCAGACTCAGTTCAAACCTGCTTCCCCTGAACCCATCTGTTCTTCATGAATTTTCATTCTCACCCTCCTCTTCAAACAACTTGTGGATATGAATGAATTTCTTGTTATGTGTGCGTATGTGTGCGTATGTGTGCGAGCTGTATGCGGGTGAGTGTGCGGGGTGTCTGGAGAAAAAGTCATGACATTTTACAACCATTTGCACACACACACCCAAAACAAATCCTTTCTATTTATACTGCATGTTGTTTATTTGTTCACCGTGACACCCGCCCCCATGGTGTGACCTGTCGGAGACACAACATTCACGTGTTTTGTCTCAGTGTGAGGAAGAAGAGCCATTCTTCAGAAATTCATCAAATCAATGTGCTGATGTTGCAAGCTATTATACACTGTATTTTCACGTTCACGTGAAAAAGATTACTGTATGTAGTTAGGTGAAAAGCTGAGTACACCCTTCTTGCTTCCCTATGATTTAAGAGGGTAAGTAGCAGCCAGGTGCTGCTAATCAGACACGTTTGATTAAATGATCACGAGCAAATTTGAGCACCTCTATAAAAGCAGATGTGCAACATTCAGTTGAGTGTTAGGACAATGCTGCAGTCTTCCCAATTGATGTCTTGGCAAAATCATCCCAAGATGAGACCTTGGGATGTTCAGAAAAACAACATCTACATCTCAGGCTTGCCAGGGCAAAGTATGGCAAGTTTGGGTTGCTAGGAGAAAGTCTCTTTTCTCTAAAAAGAACCTGGAAATCTAAACGGACCATTTTCTGGGTGTTAAGTAAGAGGTTTCTGTTTAACACTGTATAAACTATTTGATGCCATTCTACCAGTCTAAAGCATTTACACACATGGTTGTAATTTTGTAACTGTGTTACTTGGAAATTAAAAAATAAACAAGTTAATTAAAAGATAAGATATTGACCTTTTTACTATTTATTCATTGTAACTGATAGATGTCTTCTGATAGATCACCTATATATGTATCACCTGACCCTCCTGTTATTTTGCAAAAGTATCCCTAAAGCATACGAAGCTGAATATGTCTGCTCCATGCAGCTTTATGTGAAAAGGATGCAGAAAGCAGAAGTAATGCAGGATCGCTTTCAGTTTCTCTGTGTTTTAAAAGTGAGTGACATGTGAACAGAATGGCTCTGTTTAGCTGCTGGCTGTTTTGTTGCAGAGGAGCTGTCCTTCCCTGGTCTCTTGCATGTCTCTTACTTTCTGTCTTTATCTCTCACCTTCTCCCCACTCACACACAACACTGGCACTGGTGCTAAAGCAGCTTGCCAGTGGTATGGCAGAACTGGGGACTATTTGACAGCGTTACCGCTGTGATGTATGGCTGTTTTCATCCCAGCTCTCATCCCAAGTGAATAATAACACACCAAATTAGAGTGACTTATCTGTATCTCTCTGTAACCCATCCTGTCTGGGCCTTTGCCAGCATTTCCTGAGTCATATTGGCTCTCTGTGTGTGTTCTAATACTCCTCTTCTCATTTTCTGCCCCCAGCCTCAGTCTGTTTTTCTAATCCTTTATGTCATGTAGTACACTCCACACCAAAGCTGTGACAGTTTGTTTTTGCTAACAGCCACCAGAGGGAGCCCACGCCTTCTCGTTTTCCACTCAAGGCAGGGTGAGACCAGATGTTATAAAGAGCGTGATCCACACTAATCTCCTGCTAAATTAATTTCAAGACATTCTGTAATAAAAGTGCTCTTTTGCCCACACAGAAATGTCCACAGTCGCTGCTGGAAGCATAAATTAAGTCGTAAATGAGTGGCTGATGAAAATAGTCTGGGTGTCTCTGCAGAGCGGGGTCTAAGAGCAAAGAGGTGTCTGCAGTGAAGTGCTATAAGCAACACCTGGTTATCATGAATCTTTAAATTCAATCTACTGTAGATGTCTGCTTCGTGGGGTTTTGATTTAAAGTGCAGTTATAATATTTCTATGAGATGAGTTTGATGAGTCTCTGTTTTTTGTCATAAGTGATTTTTTAATAAAGATCTTTTTTGTTTGGTACATGGTAACACCTGCAATAATGCAAGCTCTCACGTGTTATGATTTGGGATAGTCAGCTCCTACCTGAGTCTTGTTTTTTTTTTACCCATAGAGTTATTTTCTGTTACTCTACGGCCTTTTTGATGCTTCTTTTTTATTTTCTGCTATGATTATCTAGATTTCAATACTGCTGATAATAAATACAGTAACACTACCCAGCAGAGTGCATCTGGTACTGATTTTTTACAATGTCCAGCACTACAGTCTCTCCACAATCCTCCCAAAGCATTCTAACTGCAAAGCAACAGAGTGCCTACAGTTGATATAATCTAATCTAAGACCAAGCACGCTGACAGGCATTAGCATATTGTGTTGGTCTCAAACTCTTTCATGCACACAGTAAAGAAGCTTTCCTATAGGTAAAAAGTGACATGTGTAGTGAAGCCAGAGCAAATTTCCATCTGCAACCCGGGAGACGTGTTGCAGATGAGCCGTAACAATGCTGACAGCTGAGATGTCGCAAGCGTACATTTATCACCTAAGACATAATTGGTTCTTGGGTAGAGGTAGGTATCACTTATGCTTCACATTTGTAACTATATACTACCTTCATAGCAGGGCTGTTTATGCGTTTGTGTGTGTGCGTGCATGTGTGTGTATGTGAGAGAGAGGATGGAAGCAGTAAAGTTCAGTGCTAGTGTCAGCAGGTGTAAACTCTTCACAGATGGTAAAGCTGCATGTTTGTGTTTGAGAACATTGCGTTTCCCACATGAGCAGTTTGCCGGGTGTCAGCAGGTCTGAACGGTACTCTAAGAGCCGCTGGTTCCACTGGGAACCAATGGCTGGGAACAAACATCCAATGGTTTAGGATCTCCATGGCTGGGGAGCACTTATGGTAACAATTGGGCTATAAGCAGCTGCATGCGCGCACAGCAGAGTCACTCATCTGCAGTGATCACATAGGGCATGAAAGCCATTATTTTTGTTTTCATATCAGCTGGTTTTTGCCGTTCTGAGCTTTCATTTTTCTTTTTGTTACATTTCTGTGCAATAAAAAGTAATTTTATTCGTTAAAACTAAATCTAAACTATATTTTGACATTGCTTTTTCTAAGCTTGCATTTGGCTGTTTAACGGGGGATCTTTTATCTCACATAAATGTTCAATGACTGATTTAAATAGTCGGAATATATGATGAGTTCATTAAAAACAAACAGCAGAAAAATCAATGTTTTGTTCATGTAACTGAAACAATAGACCCGAGGGCACCTGTTCAGTAAATGTGTCTAACAATATCAAATACAGTGCTTTTCAAATTTATCAGACCACCTGTCATAAAAAAAACCCACAAACTTTTTAGAAATCTGCTAAAACCAAAAATGTTATTGTCAAGGGGAACAATTAACTGCTAAAACAAACTCTTCTCTTCAGGAATACATGTTATTAACTGTGCTTTGGCATCTTAATAAAAAACAATATAGTACGTTTCCCAACACAGAACACCACTTTATACACATCAAATAGAAGCAAATACATCTGTCCTGAGAGTGTAAAACAAGCAAAGTCTGAATTGTTTAATTGTTTGCGTTTTTCGCAGCTCTGGTACATTAGTGCATTCACTGTTGACAGGGTTGCTGCAGTGCTGCTGAGCTGTGGTGGATGCTGCTCTAAAGGCTGAGGTCTGGCCGGGGATCGCCTGAGTGACTTAGGCAGAGGCGTTGCCCCGGCAACAGCACATCCTGGCTCTGCTTGGTGAAAGGGCCTCACAAAGGGGACACTGACTTCACAACGTAAACAACTCTGTCGCTATTGCAGTTGCTTACTGATTAAGCTAAGCACAAGCACACAATAAACAGCCAATGAAGACAAGGTGCAGGAGTGTAAAGTGATAAACAGATTGCAGTTCAGTCTTTTATTAAACCTCTCTTTTTATGAGTTAATGGTTCTTCTCACAAATGATAATGTCAGTGGTTCCAGTCCTTTTGAAATGGCAGCAAAAAGCATTAAAATAACTTTAAAATGCAGTAAGTCTTTCATTTAAACAGTTTGAAAATAATATTCTAAGATTTTTTTCTTATCCTATCTACATTCAGAAAGAAGCCCCATTCAGTTTCTGAAATCGCTCAATAGTGTGCAGCTGCGTGCACCTATTTCCTCGTGTCCTTGTCATTAAAAGGCACCGACTGATGCTGACACGGTGTAGACTAATGGGCCCCAGACCCTCTTCCTTCATGTCGCTAGTACAAAGAATGGCCTCTCCACACGACTATCTCTATCAATGAAAATCCGCTGAATGAGAAATAGACAGACTTTGAGTGTGCTTGTGTGAATTTCAAACTGATTTTTTTCTGAAACAAGACAGGTAGATGTGAACATATTGTAGGTTTGGTGCAGTCACAGTCTCTACATATTTTAAACAAAGGAATTAGCTGGTGCAGATGCTCCACCTGTGTTAATGCAGCAGAGCTGAACTCAAATCCACCTGTGCTGTCATCTTCACATTTACCCACAGGCAAGATTCCCTGTGATGGAAATGGTGTTCGGTGGTTTCCTGCTTGCTGCTGTTTACATTGTTATGAATCTTAATGGAAACTCATTATAGACCATTTCCTATGACGAAAGATTCCAGATGAAATATGACCAATGTGCAAGAATCACAGTGATATCTCTGATTGTGTTTTAAAACTCGTTATAGGAATAATTCTGCAACTGAACAGTGTGGGAAAATGTAAATGTGGGAAAATGTAAATGCCTCTATAACCTGCGATTACTAGGCAACCAACGGGAATGCAGCATGAAATTACACACTGATCGACACTCAATTAAGAAGAAAATCTAGTTGAGGCAAAAGCCTTGTTTGCACGATGTGTCGACCAGCTGTTATTATGACTGCACCGCGGGGGGTTTAGCATGAAAAACAAATATCAGAGGACGTAATAATGTATCATGTGTGTGTGTGTTTCAGCAGGTATTTGCATTGCACTGTCTGCACAGACCAAACGTGATCTTGTACTCAAGTTTCTTAGGTTTACATAAACTTATAAGAGTGCAGAAATCTCACAGTTTGGACGTGCTTTTATTTTGGCGACTGCAATTAAGCAAAGACCAGACGAAGAAAGCTGCCTAAGCAGGAAGATCACACTGCAGTAAAGATCAGCTTACGTTCTTGGTAGGTTGTGAAAAGGATGCGGAAGCGACTTTTGCGGCTGGCCTCGTCTGCCCACATCCTGATGACTCCCAGCGTGGAAACCAGCATGATGTCGTTGGCCACCGTGGAGCAGAACTTGCTCTTCAGGTCTTCCACTGAACTGAGACATGACGGGACGAGATAAGCATGCATACTTTATTATCCAGTAACATAGGCAGTCACTGTGCATCTTAATAATCCACAGAGTTGGAAAGAGCAGTCGTGGTACTTTAATTTTGGTTTTGTTTTTTCTGGGCTGTTATCGTCTGATCACTGCTAAATATTCTGAATCTCTCAAGATAATAAACTGCCGCTGAGCTCAAGTGTGTAGTAGATAGTGATTCAATTATATCCTTATCTCAGTGTATCAAATATTGTTTTCTTTAATCTGGATTTCAAAATCTCATTATTTGGAGATTAAAAACAGGTTACTTTATATTAATAGACTTGTTTGTGAGAAGTGCGCGAGAAGCAAGTGTGCAGCTTGCATGCTGTGAGTTAGATAAGAAGATGAATACCGCTCTCATATCTGTCCTTAAACTGCAAATCTACAGTCAGCAGTTGGTTAGTGTAGCTTATCATGAGGACTGGAATGGATAGCCTGACCTGGTTCTACCCACAGCTAATAAAATCCAGCATCCAGATCCTCTAAAGCAGGGGTGTCGAACATAAAGCCAAGGGGCCAGAATCGCCCAGTCGGGCCTAATGGATAGCTTTAGAAAATGTGAAAGAGGTCTTACATTTTTGGACAATTAAGTGTATTTTAATAAGTTTTAGACATTTTGACATTGTCTGTAAGCTCAGTGTTATAATTACAGGACAGTTTTTGAACTGTACACATTTATTTCTTACAGCTAAAGCCCAAACAGTCATGCTGACACATTTCTTTCATTTGCTACAGCAGCATTTATATATCATGTAGAAAGACTGAGACGTACTGTTGGAACTGACCTTCTTTCTCTTATAATGAAATATCTCTATTAAACCTGTAGTAAAAGTCCGGCCCACTCGTGATCAGAGTGGGCTGTATGTGGCCCTCGACATAAAACGAGTTTGACACCCCTGCTTTAAAGCTTGCTGCCTAAACTTGAAAAGAAATCCTGCCCAAATTCCTGAATTTAAATAATTTAATTGCATGTAAATTTTCCATGTAATTTTTTTTACAATTTAAAAATTTTACATTTAATCAAATTTGATTAACTCGATTGGTATACATTCAGTTTAGAGCAAGCACAATTCCATTAGTAAAGAATTATTTGAATAAATTAACCTTTTAAAATATTTCCATTGCATGTTACTCAAAATTATTGCTTCATGTTTATTGAGGGAGAAGACTCCCACTTTTGACTGCATAAATGGAAATTATGAAGTTGTGATGTTACATATGCTGTAACTTGACCCTTTCCAGTCATTCAGCTCAGTTCATCTGTATTTCCCATATAGACATGAGTAGCATCATTCTTTTTATCTAGCTTTCATCAACAAAGCCAATATGTGATTACCCTTTAACTCAGCTAAAATACTTAAACAGTTTCCTTAAATTAAAATAGTTTTTTTTTAGGCGACTTCAATTTCATGTTTTCAGATCAGAAGCTCATGAACAGCACAAAGTTGTTATATGAGGATAAAGTAAAGTGAGTGAAGTGATTTATACAATTGAAGATTTAAAACAAAGCCCTCTTGTGCAACAAGAGCATGTCACATTAAAGATGTACAAAAAAAAAAATCACACCTGCCGCCATCATACACTGCCACAAAGTTGCGCTTGCATTCATTGGAATTTGCCATCTCATAGTCGAGAAAACGCAGGTAGATCTGTCCGAGGAGGCAGAGAGGAGGGAAAAACAACAAAGAGAAGAGAAAGAAAAAGAAGCGATCAGGCGAGGAAAATCAAAGGACACAGTAAGATTTGGAGGTGACAGAAGAAAGATGTGAAGCAAACAGCGGAGAGGAGAGACAAGTGAGAGAAAAGATTTCAGCTCTTTCCTATTACTGCCCGGGCATCTCAGTCATTATCCAAGTGCCTGATATAGCAGCCCTGTAATGAAATAAGACTGACAGACAGCAGCTAGCACAAAGTCATTACATACGCATTTCAAATGAAGACTCAAAGACAGACGGAGTCTATTAGCTTTGCACTCATTATCCATATCTGTTGAGATAAAGAATTACATAAAACCTACAACCTTGTTAAACTTTAAGGACATGTTGGACGTTTTGCCACCAGTTTTGGATATTTAAGCGAAAAAAAGATGTCATCATTTAAAATTAAAATGCAAAGAACTTATACACCAAAGGACATATTTGGTATATAAACAGACTTACCTTATGTCTAACTATTCATGAAGCAACTAAGACAGATACAACACATGCTCTGTTTTAATATCCTAACAATCGCTCGTTGAGTAAAATATCCACCTTGCTATCCACCTTGACTCTTCATAGTAGCTATTCTGCACTTCCTAACTGTCTCCGCACCATTTTCTGTCACTCATTCATCAGGCTGAGATCCCCCAATCACAGCTATGGTTCTGGTCGGCCGCTCACAGCACTTGCCATCATTACGGTTAATGAGCGGACGGCTCCTGGACTGTGACAGGAAAATTTGACGCTTTAAATACCCAAAGACAAAAGCTGCAGATGGAGCAGGATAATGGACCCTGCAATGTCAACTTGGCTTCAACAACATGACAAGCGAAATGGACTAGAGGGGGGAAAACAAGCTAGCTCTCTCGAGGTATCACACTGATGTCAATAATCAGTCTAATAAAAAACAATCATATTCAGCTATACTGTCACAGGGATGGGGGAAGCGTTTTCTCTCCTATACTGCGATTGTGGAATTAAATACTGTCAAATTCATTGCAGGCTTTCTGATGCAAAGATGTATCCAGTTATAAACTCAATCACATAGGAAGCATGTGACTAAAAGTGATTTGTCCCAGGGAGTGTATAGATTACATTCATATTAATGGCTCTACACTGGGAGAGGGGGGGATACTCTGAAAATACACTTAAGCTGACGCCACTGAGTGCTGTTGTGTTCTTGTCAATATTACAATGATTTCCAGTACAGAGCATAAAATATGACTGAAAGCTTTAGACTGGAGATACATGCAGTAAGTGCCTAAAATTTGGTTTCTCAGCAGTTGGGATAATGCTGTGATTAAGTTAGTGATCTGAGACGAATGTCACTTGACATTGTAGTACAATATAAAAAGGTTTCTAAGTTTAGAAGTTCTAAGTTTTTAAGAACAAGGAAAACTTTGGATTAAGGGAAAACTGCCAGAAATGACTTTGACTAAGAACAAAGAATTTATAATACGTGGATGATGGCTCCTTTCCATATGGCAGATTACCAAAGACGACAGATTTAATGCAAAAATTTTAAGGTTATAGTGAAGGTTAAGGTTACAGTTAGGGACTCTGCCAATTTTTTCTTTGTCTGTTCTAGAGTTGAAGAGGCAAATAATTGGTAAAAGCACCAATGAGCATGTTAATTAGGACACTTGGCCCCGTCGTTTCATCGTCAGCGAATGGTGGGAGAATTAGACATGAAGTTTTCCACCTACAGCACAAAGAATGCACTAAATTCAGCCATCTGTAACCGATAAAAGTACTTTTTCAGCAAGCGGAGACTAATTGCTAATGCAAAACAATGTTGATATAATGAACAAATTAGGATTTTGGCATAGACTTCAATTGGTGCTAATGGCTAATTAAAGCAATAAAACTACAGCCATTAAATAGCATAATTCCCAGTCTTGACCATCATGACTGTTTCTGGATGGAAGCATGACAGTGATGGTGTTGAAGAAGGGGGCTTCTCCACATTGATCACGTTAGAATATCTGAACGGATGCACTGTCACAAAATTGTGTACAGAGTCTTGGAGCTGTGGCAAGGTTCAAAACCTTTGATACTGGAGGCATTCTGGTTTTCCGTTTCACCTGTTTTTGGTTCAATTTCTTTTAATCAATCAGTTCCTTTGCTGATATCTCAAAATTGTCAGTTATCGTGTGAAAATGTAGCTTTTAATTTTAAATATATAACCCTTATGAAAGACTAACCAGTGACCTGCACACTAACCAGTTAAGCTGAAAAATTGGCCCTCAGACTGGCCGATGGCTTTCTAGGGTGAGAGTTTCTAATATTGTAGCATTCTAACATGCTTAACTCGAGTACTTTTGTATGGCAGGCCATAAGGATGTGCATGTCTGTGAAAAAAAAATCCTTTCAGTATTGTCTTTGATCAGGCGTTGCATACACAAACTCATTATCTGACCGATGTAGTTACTGTGAGCACTGACAGGAAGGTGAACAGGACGGCCTCATTATGTGACAAATATATAACATTTACTAACAAATTCACAAATAAAAGCTTCTGATGTTGTTTTTCTGTGGCTCCTAAGCCCTAACAGGCCGATGATGAAGAAAAATTCTGAGTGCAGATGGCATCACAACACAGAATGACAGCAACGGATAAGATAGATACAATCACCAATTTGTACGGTGAGAGATTGGCTCCAGCAGGGAAATAGGCTGCTTCTTCATTGATTGCAGCGCCCAATAATGACGCCGAATCCATCATTGACCGGGGAAGAATATGCTCTCTCTGTTGCTAAAGGGTGTCTGTAACAGCGCGTGCTGTTCATTACAGTCAGAATGAATGTCCATATTTTGACCATTATCATGAAAGGATGTAGAAGGTGTCAGACAGCGCGGGCAAGAAAAATCCAGACTGTGTAAAACAGACGGGACAGAGATGCTCTGTGGAAAACAGAGAAACTGATGAGGTAACTGAATGTATCCCTCAGTACAGCTAATAAGTTTGCGCTGAATTTGGACAGCTGTCCAAAATAGCCCAAAGAACCTAAAAAAAACAGCAGTGGTGATAGGAAGAGTTTATAAATTTAAATATAATGCAGTTTCAGTTCAAAGTTTTTGTAAATCACTCTTATTAGACATGTATATCACTGTGAATCCTAGTGAAGGGTAATCTATTCTGAAGTGGAGGATGAATGGTGGTGTAAAGTAACGTGATGGTATTAAATTTGGTGCATTGCTGTGACTTCTGGCAACAACACATGGTCATTACTGCTTACTTGCAGGTATGTTTTTCAGTCAGTCTCCACCTTTCTTTCCTTTTTACTCCATCCCTCTCTCTGCCATCTGCCATGTGCCATCTCACCCCCAAAACTCCATCCCTATATATTTAAGATCTTCAGTAAAACGCATTATTAAGCATTGCTTTCCCTTATTCCCTCCTTTCTCATGCTTCCACGTCCTCTCCTACCTCCTTCTCCCGGCTTCTCTCTGGAGTGCTCCGGTGCAGTCTAATTAGAGCCTCCGGTATAGGATGTCATTATCTCTGCTGTTTCTGGCACACTGGGTGTAGTGCAGTAGTGTATAAGCATAGGGAGATGAACACCTTGCCTTACACACTGTGCGACCTCCATGCATGCGTACACACAGTAATGTAGTCCCCCTCTCTGCAGCAGCATGTGAGCATGCATGCGTCTACTTGACAGAGGTAGTGAGGAACCAAAGAGAGAAACTGTAGGTTTTTTATATTTTATGTGTAACTGAGTGCGAATAGTTGCAGTGCAGGTGGGAGCTTCAGGACTGTGATTTACAGAAGATAGAGTTGTACTAAAAATGTGATTTGCTGCCTTGTCCATCAGTGCCAATGACTGTCAGCCTCTGGCCCATGACTTGGCCTCGGAGGCATTTCTGCAGTACGAAATGTGACACTTATTCAAACTAATACATCATACTGCCAGGCTTGCTTGCTTTGTTACTCTTTCATGCACATAACTAACGTATTCACACACAAACGGAGGATGCATGTGATGCACACAAACTTGACTTGTCTGTTTTGATGGCTCACTGGCAATGCATCAATTGATTTTTTTAAAAAAAGAAAAAAAAATTAAGCATAACCTTTAACCCTGGCAAGACTCCCTGCTAATAGCTGTTTTAATTTAACACTTATTGTAAGCTTCCATGTGACGACTAAGAGTAAGTCTCCTGATTGATGCAGTTGTATAACTCCCGTGGCCTTGAGTTTTCAAAACAGCTGAATCCGAAGGTCATTTCTGAAGGGAAACCAGAGCATTAGCAGGAAATATGCGACCCGAGGAATATGCCAGATAAGAACAAATACTGTGCCCATGAATAACAGTCGAACCATTATCAGCCAGTCATAGCATAAGCCAGTGTGTGTGTGTGTGTGTGTACAGTACAGAGAGCCTGCAGTTCAGTATGAAAAGCCTGTGTAGAAAAAAATACTGTGAACCTAATCACAGCTTCCATCTGATATAAACTATGCCTTAATAGCTTCTCTAATGTGTACTCTATAAATCTTAAAAGATCTCTACAGTAACCATAATAGCATGGCATCACTAATAAGCACTGAATTAGTGAAACTAATAGTGACACAGTAAAGCTGACAATACAGCTACCTTACCTCACCCCCTGGAATAACTGAACAATGCACGTACGTAATTGATTCCTATTAACATTAAGTCAGAGCAAGTCACTATTTCATATCCTGCTGTAGTATCTTATTATAATGATCATAGCATATCATCTCTTGCCAACTGAGAGACGATGGCAGCAGAAACCTAAGAAAGAGGAGGAAGAGGAGGAAGCGTCATGGAAGGACAGGCCCCTGCACGGTATGTACGACCGCCAGATAGAGGAAGTGGCTAACATCAAGAAATCCTACCAGTGGCTGGACAAAGCTGGACTGAAAGGCAGAACAGAGGCACTAATCATGGCAGCACAGGAGTAAGCTCTAGGCACAAGATCCATAGAGGCTGGGGTCTACCACACCAGGCAAGACCCCAGGTGCAAGCTGTTTAAAGATGGCCCTGATGGTAGCAGGCAGGGCATACGTGGAACGCCATAACCAAGTGGCCAGCATAGTATACAGAAACATCTGTGCTGAGTATGGCTTGGAAGTCCCGAAGGCAAAATGGGAGACCCCCCCTAGTGTGGTGGAGAATGACCGAGCTAAGATCCTGTGGGACTTCGAGACACAGATGAACAAAATGGTGCTGGCTAACCAACCGGATATAGCGGTGGTAGACAAGCGAAAGAAGACGGCTGTAGTGATCGATCTAGCGATACCGAATGACAGCAACATCGGGAAGAAGGAACACGAGAGGCTGCAGAAGTACCAAGGGCTCAGAGAAGAGCTCAAGAAGATCTGGAGGGTGAAGGTAACAGCGGTGCAGTGGTAATCAGAGCACTTGGTGCCGTGACTCCCAAGCTAGGAGAGTGGCTCCATCTAACTAATGAGCCTCCGGGTAAATTTAGATCGAAAGCCAAGATGTGAATCCAGTAGGTTACAAATGTGCATTACAACTGGGATCTTAAATTATTGACCAAAGAAATCAAACATGTACTATGTCCCTTAAATGCCTTAAATGTCTCTTTTTAAATAACAATTTAAATGCGTATGGTTTTTGGTGATCATCACCAGCCACACCTAACATTACTGTATTCCAGGTAAACATCAAACCCAAAGCTTACAGGTTAGGTTTTGTTTGTCTTTAAAACTGAACAGATTTCTATGTAGCTCGCAAAGAAGACAAATAAATGCATATATATTTATTAAATGTATATACATTTTGTTTTTAAGTGTTTAAATACAACCAGTCCTTTTGGTCATCTGACTTTCTACAGTGGCATAATGAAGATAAAAATAAATGAACCACATGTCTGTGCCATAAGTGAGTCATAGTTAAAGAAGCCCGTCATGACCAAAGTTATAAATACATTCTCACATACGTACAAACCAGACACGCGCAGATCCAAAAGACACTGTAATATAAAACATAGGTTTATTTAATGTCACGATTTATAGTTTTAGTATTACGAGGGAGATCAAATATTTTAACATTTTAACTATGCAGACACCATAATTCCTTCCTGCCCTTCAAAGAATTGTTCTAACCATGAAAGTCAAAGTAAAATTGTGGCCTTATGCTATCAAATCAAACCCCCCAAATGCACTCAGAAGAGGGCCAACACTATTTGAGCAGCAGATTTACTGCAGTCATGGATGTACAGGATCAAACCATATAGAATCATATGAGAGGTGGTAGCATTTGTAAAATATAGCCTTTTCCTGCACTGCTGCTCTGCCCTTAGGAAACACTTAATCCCATGCATTAATGCAGCACAGGTACCTCTAGTAGATAAGGAAGCATGTCTAGTGTGTATTAGGGGTTGGAGCAAAGGTGTGCATGTATATGCATGTCCTGTATTTGTATATGCAAAACACAGGCGAGGAAAACAAATGCAGGCTGTTGCAGGCCTCAGGGTCAAACTGCAACCCAACACTATTTTATCAATGGTAACGCTTCCTGCCTCTCTTTGTTTGTTCAGTCCTCTCTCCTTCTGCAGCGCTCTCTTTTTTTTCTTCCCTCCCTCTATTCCTCTTGGCAACAGCTCACTGATTAAAAAAATGGGCCTGACCCCAAATAAACCCTTCTGCCTATCTGTCTGACCCTAGCGGGGAAACAAGTCCTCCCCCCAGCCACAAACACTCTCGTCGGGATACTGCTGACAGCTGCAGACAAACTGACATGTAATATCAAAGCTTCCTGATGCAACCCCTGATCTTACTGCCTGTGTGGCGAAATATAGAAAGGAAACAGATAATTATTAAGAAAAAATATCCTCAATATCTCAACAGAAGCCGGAAATTTCACAAGGAATACATCCAGGATTTGTCAGCTGAACATTAGTCTTTCTGATGTAACTATGTTGTGCTGTCATCAGCTCAGCTAATGGGGACACAATTTCATTTCCATTTTATTTCATGTGACATTTCAAAATTTGGCTTCAAATCAAATTCACAGTTTGATGGGAGCGTAGTTTACGTCACTGACCTTGGAGCGCGGCGGGGCACGGATGTACCATTTACAGTCGACGGCCTCTGTGGCACCGGCCTTTCCGTCTCTGGTGATCTGATGAGACTCGACGATACCTTCTGGGCCAACCATGTCATACTGACAGGCTGAAACACACGCATATGTATAAACACACCCAAAACAAATGCATGCACACATGTGTGGTTCATGCAGACAAACACCGATGATTAAGAGGTATAACACATGCACCAACACACAGTATGTATATAAGTGATAGTAAAACAGCATAAATACACTTTAGAGAGACAAGAGAAGAAGAATGGCTATAGAGAGAGAAAGAAAGCAGAAAGCGGGAGAGAGAGGGAGTGTACCTACAGGGCAGAGGTGGGGGTATTCCCATGTCTCCAAAGTCTGGATCTGAGGAGAGAGCAGAATAGAGGAAGGGGGAAATTATTTTTTAATATATGATTACAAAATCAAAATCATTACAGAGGAAAACACAACAAGGTTTATCTATGTACTGAGGAACTTCCTGCAAAGACAACAAACTGCTGTCCTCACGTATAAATTATTTCAGCGTCTCTGAATGCTTTGCTGCTTTTTCCTCTTTGAAGTCACCAACAGGAAGTTCTCCAGATATTCTCCATATAACATCTGGTTATGTGTGACTTTTGCACTTTGCACTGGTGGATTAAGCATTAAAGCAACATAAAAAATATTTTTTTAACTACAGGTACCAACACTGTTAAGGCAGCTGTGCCATTAATGTTTTAAACTGGGAAGTGCTCCAGTATCTATTTGTCTATCTGAACCCGCACTAAGCTATATGCTAACATCACCATGCTAGCATTTTAATTACTATACAGTTGTTTAGTTTGTCATTTTAGCACGTTCACATCTACAACATTGGAAAGTGTGAGCTCACAAACCGTTGCAGGGCATGCATGATAACGAGTCTAGCTGAAATCATTGAACCAAAGGACCAACGTTTTAGAAACTGATAAAGCAGGATGAATAAACCAAACTGAGCGGCAATTCTTTTTTTTCTTTTTTTTAAATCTGTGGAGTATTTGAAAAACGCTTTTTTGTTTCCTTAGAGTAGTTTGATAAAATTACAAAAAGAAATCTACTCCACCCACATGCAAAGTCCTGCAGTACAATAAAACAACCTCTTAATATGTTTGTCAGATATTGCTCTGAATAAAATCAAACGATTTGGAGGATTGAGGCAAATGCACGCTTGTGCTTCAATTCAATATTGTTATCAGGACATTGCAGCTGTATTTTACAGTAATTGGCTTTAAACCAAGACAGGTGATGATTTTGTGAAGTGTAGCAGCCAACTTATTGATGCCAACATGAGGTCACCGTCAAGTCAGTATTTACTCACAATCAGGGTTGGGTAGCGACAGATCACATGCAACCAGCATCATGTAATATTATTCTTTAAAGAAACAAAAATCAAAATTAACTGTGATAAAAAAAAATCTGTTCGATTATAGATCATCAACGATTATTAATCACATCGTAAGTACACCCTTAAAAGGCAAAAATTGTTTTTAAATTGGTGACCAATTGTGTTTAGTAACTTATGATGAAGATGTTTGCGTTTCTTAAAAAATGTCCTGCTTGGGGGTGCATTTCAAGGTCCATGTTGGTAATCCTGACTTTTGAGAGTCCTGACTTTACAATCCACGATGGCAGCATTGCATGCAAATGTTAGCAAAACTGCGAAACCTGTAATCTGTTATGATCTGTGACCTGCTAAATAAGCCATATAAAGAGCCCTGACCAGTCTCTACCCACGACGGGTTGCAGAAGTGTTTTTAAAAGCATAAAGCATTTGTTTTTAAATAATTTCCCCTAGGGATCAATACAGTATTCTGATTCTGATTCTGAAAACTGGTACTGCGCTGTATTGCTAGTGGTAGATGAATGACTCCACCTTGCTAGGAAGCATAACAAATCCTCACTTTTCTAATTTTACTACTGGAACACAAATAGCTAAATGCACAAACATGTCAGAGCTGAAGAATCTTTCTCAGTTAGATAGCCAGTGTTTAAAAAAATGTTCATTCGGGTTGGAATTTTGTTTTAACCATCAGATAGCTTGCATGGATAATGGTAGCACTAGCATAGCTCATTAGCTAACACACAACATCACTTATTTTAGCTATATTTCAAAGCAATTCAGGTTAGATTACATTTTTTGCAAATCAGTGGATGAATGCGTATCCAGTAATTCATGACATTCAGATGAATGCTTCCTGTGCAGATGACGCTGTAAGCCTCTGGAAAGTATATAGCAAAGATAACATTTCTTGGGCTCGGCTCCCCTGAGCTCACCACATAAGTCTCATTTTTGTTCCATTTAGCAGTGCCAGAACAAAGCATAACTGAGGCTTAACAGACCTAAACGGAAGAGAAGAAACATTAAATGTGTCCTAAAGAAAGGTTTTAAAATTTTAGCAGACTGCGAGGCTGTGACGGTAATCCTCCACCAAACTTTTACATATTCAGAACAAAAATCAAACTCAACTTCCCAGCTGTACGTGATAAGAAACGTGTCACGCAAAGTTTAAAAAGTCAGCTTCAAGTGAGAGCTTTTTAGCAGTTTTTCCTGAATAATGTTGCAATAAATTACATCAACAAGGCCAGCCTTTCTGAGCTGTGTTCCCTCCTCCTGCTAGCGCAACATCACAGTCTCATCTCTTATCCCCAAAGACTCAATATCACTCTTCAGATGACTTCACAGAAGACAGAAATTGACTCTTGAACACTCTCACTAGTCTTTCACATCATCATTTCAGTGTGTGTATCTTGTCAAGGAGGTTTGTGTGTGTTTTTTCAGTCTATCAGAATTTCATAAGCACAAACCGGTGAAGCTTAAACGCGTCTAAAATTCATGCGATGTGTGATTATTTATGATTGTTTCTCAATAAAAGGAAAGAGCAATGAAGTTATTAGGCTACTTTTCTGATGCAGCATTCCACTATTACACCACTGCATGTCACCTGCCCTGAAATACAGCATTCTCTTTGATGTAAAACCTCCACAGAATTACAATACATTCCCAGAGACCCCATTTTATTCCAGCCTAGTAACAGAGCGGTTGGGCTTTCAAAGATATGCCGTTAGCTGTGATCTTCGGGCTGCATTCTTTTGAGGATAGAGCCTGCAGAAACAAGAAACACAAAAAAAGGCTTCACATTAAATCTGATTGTTCCTTGCCAAATCGAGACATGGCTACCATTGACTGAGCTCTGTGTGGAAAATGAGGTCTGATTGCACAGCGTGAACACCTTGTCTAAATGTCAAAGTTTTTTTTTGTCTGTATGTATGCCCTAATTTTTCTGTCTAGACATGAGTCGGTACTTGAGTGTGAGCACTTCGGACTCGGAAAAACATTGCACCGACGCCTGTGCTGCGGTGATATAAAAAAAGGGAGTCAAATGATGGAACAGATAGGATTCAGATAGGCACTCTTGGCTCAATTTCTGCTTTGTTCTCACAGATTCAGAAGATGGGAACCTCCCCAAATGGTGAGAAGACGAGCCTGTTGAATACCTGTGACAAATGTAGCAAGGCTGCCGAAACCCCTTCTCTCTTTGGCACTTTTTTTTTTTTCATCATTGTTTTTATTGCAGATTTTCCTTTAACACGACAGTGTCTCGACAGTAGACACAGAACAACAAAACAGTACAAACACAAAACGTACACAACAGCTCTTAAATAAGGCATAATACAAGATACAAAATACAAAATATAACATACAAGAGGTGGTGAGTCAGTCTTACAGCCCCCGGGTGGTGATCACGTGTGTAGTAGTCCTTTGAATAAGATAGCGGAAAGGTCCGGTCCAATATAGTCCAAAAAGGGGTGCCACATCCCATAGAACTGACCCACACTGTGGTGTATAACGTGTGTGAGGTATTCCAGAGGAATCAGTTCAAAAACTATTTTGCGCCAGCCACAGACAGTGGGAGTCCTATCGTTGATCCATTGTAAGAGGATATTTTTCCTGGCTGCAAATGTTAGAGTGTTATACAATCTTTTGTTGGCCGCCGCTTTTAGGCGGTCACTTGGAAGACCTAGAATCAGGGACAAAGGGTCCATCTCTATATCAACGTGGAAGATTTTCCCCAGTTCACCTGTAATGTCAGCCCAGTATTCTTGAAGCTTATAACAGGACCAAAAACAATGAGTTAAAGTCCCTACATCAGTTTTGCACTTAAGACACACAGGGGAAAGAGAGCGGCTGAAGAGGTTTCTGCGGTGAGGGGATACGTGTAATCTGTGTAAAATCTTAAATTGGATTGCTCTTGTCCGAGTACAAATTGAAATCCTTTTTGCGAGAGACCAAACGGTATCCCACTTATCTTCATCTATGGTTACCGACAGTTCCCTCTCCCACACACCTCTAATCCCCTGCGCATCAGTGGTAGTCAAAGCATTAAGCACATGGTAAAATGAACTCAGAGACACCGTCAGCTGTTGCCCAAACAAAACCCTCTCAACATCAGATACTTCAGGGTGCTCAGCAAGGGTTGTATTGTGAGTGATATAGTGTCGTATTTGCAAAAAACGAAAGAAATCCTGTCTAGGCAAGCCGTAACTGTTGGTAAGCTGTTCAAACGACATGAGTTCACCACCCGAGAAAAGGTCACCAAGAGACTTAATATTCTTATCAGACCATCGTTGAAAGCCGGGGTCCAAAGAACCCGGAGGGAAAGCAGGGTTATTCATTATAGGGGTAAAGGCTGATGTTATTCTCGATCTTCCCTCAAGACGGTGGACAATTCGCCACGCTTTTAGGGTGTTGATTGTTACAGGATTTGTACAAAGGGCCTTAATTCCGTTAAAATCATTACAAAATAATAGATCGCTCAGTTTGCATTGTGACAGAGCTGTCTCAATATCCGACCAGATTGAGGTTTTACCCCTAACCCAGTCGCTCACAAATCTTAAATGGGCAGAAAGCTGATACAATCTAATATTAGGTAGATCCAAGCCGCCCCTGGAGCTTGGCAGATGCAACACTGCCATCTTGAGTCTGGGTCTGCGCTTGTTCCAGATGAAAGAGGTGAGCCAACCATTTATGTCCTTCAGTACTCTCTTAGAGAACAAGACGGGGATCATTTGGATAGGATACAATAGCCTGGGCAGCACATTCATTTTGATCAGGGCAATGCGTCCTAGCCAGGAGACAGGAAGTGACGCCCACCGCTCTAGGTCCTGTTTGAGTTTGCCAAATAAGGGTGTGAAGTTGGCTTTGTACAATTGGTCGAGAGACGGGGTAATAAAGATCCCCAAATACACAAATCCATTAGGAGACCATTTAAAAGGAAAGGAAGGAACAGTAGCCGGCATTGTGAAAAGAGTACCGAGAGGCATGGCCTCTGACTTAGCCAAATTGA